ACGTCATTCCTCAGGAGTAACGTTGTAACGTCGAAACATGTAGAATCGTCAACTTTTTGAAGGCCATAGATAGGCCTAAATAAAATGTTTTTAATTGTGTACCAGTTTAACGTTGAATATTATTTATGATTTTAAAGGAATTAACTAATTAGATGTGTACACAAAAGATAAAACTGTGATGATTTAAAACGTATAAACTTGGAGATAATCTGATGAATGTATGTGAAACCTTAAGTGCCCTCTAAAAATATCTTTAATTATCCAGTAGATTAAGAAAAGATGAAATCAGATGATGTTGTTTATATAACGGTTAATACAGAAAAGACAATAAATTTGTAGTTTATGTTATTGCTTAAACCAGTGGTAGAAATTTATATATATTTGTATGTCTGTTTTTTTTGTATTCATTAATGCCTTCCATGACATGTACTTATTTACCAGTACATGTAAAACTTCTGAAAGCTGTGTTGTTTGCACAATGCAAAATATGCATATAAGATGCATCTTTACTTTAAGTTATTACCAGAGATCAAGGTAGATTGCTTGTTTTACTTTATTTTTACATACTCAAATTTATTTTAACTTTTTTTTTTTTTAAGTAAAGAATTGTGCCTTCATTCTAGCATTTTCGTGTGGAATCTCACCTTGAGTAGTTTTTACACAAAAGTAACTTTTACTCAATTTTACCATTTATTTTTGGCTTTCTCAGGCACTTTACTAGTTCAGCTTTGTGGTAAGTTTCTTGATTGTTAACGTTAATATTACCTCTAGAAGATTACCCCATCACAAATGATATAATGCATGTATTCTTGCTATTTTAGACCTATTAAATGTTGATTATGAAATAATAAATAAATCTTTGATGTATCTCTTAATAATGTAATCATAGAAAGAAACCATAATCTACAGATGTGAGCTCTCATGTTAAAGGTAGTTGTGCAGGTGGTAATCGTAAATGTACACCATGTTAACAGGTGTGGAGAAGCGTGTGAAAAAAAATATAATAACCGAATTAGTGATTTTAGAATATTCAGTTGATCTCTGTGTATAACTGATATCTTAAAACTAATATTCTTAGTTTATATATGAAACTCATTGCTCAATGGGATTTTAACATTTATTATTCATACTCTGTTATTTTTTAATCTTTCCTCCTATTAGTGTAACCTTTTTGATGCAAGTGTTGTTTATCAAAATGTTTGTATAAATATTTAGATTTTTACTATTTAATGTTGTTTTTCTAAAAAAGAATATAGTTATGTAAATTAATCTAGAAAATTTTGCCCATTATGGGCCATCTTTTATAAAATGTTGATAAGTATTAATTTTAACATTATCAGGGCCATATCTAGCACTGAAAAAGTGGGGAGGCATACTCTGGAAGGGGCTCCTATTCCAATTGAATTTTTGGCACATAAAAATTATAAAATTTGCTTCAAAACTATAAAATTTTATTTTGAGTATTAGGTATAAAGTCTCTACGGAACTGGGGTTATGTGCACGCCAAGTTATAAATAATACATAATGTATAGAGCAATTAAAAAACTTATTGAGGCCCTTTTGTTGACTGGTTGGCAGTCCCTTTGTTGACTGATTGGGGCCCTTTTGTTGACTGTTTGGAGTTGCTTTCCTATTGATGACATTTTGTTTGTTTCCAATGTTACAATTTTCCTCATAGGGACTCTTCAATTTTTGGGAGAAAGCGAGGAGGCAATTGCCTCCTCCGCCTCAGCCTGGCTACGACCCTGATGACAACCCTTTAGATGAAGGTCGATTGTGTTATATATACACACACGAGTGATTTACTAATTTAATTGGGATAGTGATAGAAATTGATATATATATATATATATTAGATGTAATAACTTATGTTTTGAAAGTGTGATATATATATACTTAAAATGAACGATAATTTCTAACCATTTGCTTCACGTTTATTGGTGTTTTGTAATGACTGCTTACGCTTTTACTTTACCCTAACTGGAGATGACAATCAGCGACTTATCGATTTATTAATAAAATGATTATTTTGATGCATACACGATTTCTCAAAGTATGGAATTCAATATTATTGTTATGTATGTGTTTCTTGCTTAAGAAAAAAAAATCAACTGCCAAATAATAAAGTTTTTAACACTACATCACGCAGTTTTGTTTGTGTTTCTTTACTTCGAAATTGTGTATGATAATGCAGCGTTAACTTTTCCAGTTCACAATAGTATTTTTCCAAATTCTATAGGAGCGCCCCCTTTTTGTTTCAAAAATAATTACATTAGAACATTGCATAACTATAAAATTTTATTTTGAGTATGAGTTATAAAGTGGGCCCCTTTTAAGCGGGCTCCCAGGCCGGGGGGCTGACTCTACGGAACTGGGGTTAGGTGCACGCCAATTTTTAAATAATACATAATGTATAAAGCAATTAAAATACTTGTCATACACAATTTTAAAGTTTTTAACACTACATCACCCAGTTTTGTTTGTGTTTCTTTACTTCAAAATTGTGTATGGTAATGCAGCGTTAACTTTTCCAGTTTTCAATAGTATTTTCCCAAATTCTGTAGGAGCGTTGTGTAACACATTGTCAGGTAATAACATTTACAATTTTTTATCGAATCTGTTGCTTACGGACTTAAGTTTAATTCATACACCTGTGGGAACGTTTTATTTATATATAATACAAATAACGTTTGCTGTTTAGGAAGAGAACTGAGCATAATATAAAGATGATAATTAGGTTTCTTATGAAATGTGTTATGTTATTTGAACATAATTTGATGACCAAACATTGGTATAAACATTTCATTTAGTGGACGTTCACAAAACAACTGCAATGAAACATCTACAATCTTCACTTGACAGATTTTCCTTTATTTGTTCCCGCCCCCTTCCCTGTGTCTGGGCAGTAAGCTAATGCTCAAATTCGGGGTTCGACTCTTGCGGTAAGCGCAGCCCAGATAGCCATTGCGCAGCTTTGTGCTTAACAACAAGCCCCTCTCTAACTCTGCTTTGTCCATCACAGAAAAACGTAAACTGAAATAAATATACACTAGTTGTTATTTTCGTCACTAGAGGGAGGTATATGTCATTAATTCCAGAAACAAATGATAAAATTAATAATATTTCATAAGTAGAGTTTCATGAAGAGTTCTGTAGGAAGTATATAGATATTACCTTATATATTCTTAAGGACTTTAAAGTCCATTAATTTTCTTGTAATTTTTTTCCAGTGATATAATTTTGCGTATGCCAAATTATATGAAATGTAACATATGTATATATATGATTTTTTTATTTATTTATGTACATTGAATTACAACCCCCCTCCTTTTCTAATGGCTTTGACTGTTTCATAGTGTAATAATAGGTAGACATCTGACTGTAATCTATGGATGATTTATTTTCTTTACAATCTATAAAGCTGTGGGATTTTGCGTAACAACAGGAACTAAAAAAACTATTTTTGATATGTAAATATCATACTGAACCCAAATTATTAAAGGTGTTTTATACGTTTCACGTGTGCACAGTTTCTTTGCGTTATAACGTTTCATCGTGAAAACATAAGTTACATTTTCAAAATTGTGTTGATATCAATTTTAGTTTGCTTGCTGCACAAT